AAACCCTAAACCCCCACAGCCCTAAAGCCCTGAACCCGAAGTTGAGAGCCCAGCGGTCCGAGGCATATCTTGCACGAGGAGAGTGGCCCCGAGCCCAGCTGAAAACAGGTCCTCCGTGGTATTCTTAACATAGCATGAAGGGGTAAGGGTTTAGGGTTTAGGGTTTAGGGTTTAGGGTTTAGGGTTTAGGGTAGGGGCAGGGGTGTGATTTAGGAATTCTGGGTTTCGGGTTTAGGGTGTAGGACTTGATGTAGGATCCTCACGCTTCGAATGGTTTCTCTCCATGGTTACGCCACCACGCAGACCAGTCACGATGAAGGGAGATTTGTATTTGGGGTGCGCGTTTACGGCTGCCAATGCTGATTTAGGTCCTGCAAAACTCTCACCAAGAGGCTTTGCATGTCTGTCATAGCACTGCCCACAGTGACGCAGCCGCGGGCAGCCGCGGAATTCGCTGTCTCTGGTCTCGGGTTCACGGTTTCGACACCTGATCCCTAAACCATAAACTTGGACTCTCTGTCGTAAGGGCTAGCTTCCTTTGTAATCCTGCGACGCTCCAGAAACGGGCTCTAGACGCTGGGCCGAGTTTATGAGTTTCAGTGTTTCGGGGCTGTGGGGAAGGGTTTAGGCTTTGGGGTTTGGGGTTCAGCGTTTGGGGTTTTGGGGTTTAGGGTTCTTTGGGTTTTTTGGTTTAGGGTTTTAGCTACGACCATTTGTGTGGGAAGAAAGGGCGTTCCAGAAAGTAATTCTCAATGCGAAGTTTACCGCGACATAAGCCCTGCGATGAAGGCGCCGAAGCCATGCCGCCTGATCAGGTTTTCAGGTCTCGGCATGCGATTTCGCATCTCCCTCTTGTTGAGATACTAAATGTTTTGGAGGTTTAAGACACAGGGGTTCCTTGGACCCTAAACCCTAAACTTCCCAAAACCCTTTCAGCGTTTTGGGGTTTCTTCTCTTTACACCGATGCACCGGCAGTGTATGAGATGAAAAGCAACACCCAGAGCCCAATGGGCTACAAGCACCTCTAGTTTAGGGCTTTGGGGCTTTAGGATTTTAGGATTTAGGGCTTTAGGGCTTTAGGGTTTCAGGGTTTCAGGGTTTAGGGTTTTAGGGTTTTAGGGTTTGAGGGTTTAGGGTTTTAGGGTTTTAGGGTATTAGAGTTTAGGGTCACGCCCCAACCCTTAAATCCTGAACCTGAACCCTAACCCAAGTAAATCCTTGGTTCTGAACCCTAGAGCCTAAACCCACAGCGTAATTCCAGACCGAAACCCTCAACCGTTATTTCGGGGAAGTCCAGGGGACTTATGGTAGTAAGTAGAGCTTTAAGGCTAAGTGGGATTAGAAGTAGATTTGGCAAGCTACATTTTTTTTTTACTTTGCTTACAAGCCACTTCCTGAGTCCTTTGATGACTTCAATTCCAGCAAGAGCCTATGAAACCCTGCTGGCTAAGTCCGTGATCCTGTACCTTAACGAATTGTTGTCCAACCCTTTTCCTTAAACCCTACGCTCTAAACCCTACATCCTAAACCCTACATCCTAATACCCTAGGCCCGTTGCATCACACGCCAACTGTAAACCGCTGGCTCAATTAATATAGGGGCCTAAATAAGTACCACTATTTTGGGGGTTCCTTATTTTAGTTATAGTATAATGGGCCCCAAAACCCTATTCTAATTATTAAGACCCCGAAACCCTAAACCCTTATAGTAGCCCTTATAGTATCCCTTGAAGGAGCCCTTACAAAGGAACCCTATGAAACCCTATTCTAATTATTAAGGCCCCCATGTTAGATCCACAAGTTAAGCTTGCCACGTGACGGCTCAACATGTCGACTACCGTGGACCTGGAACGCGGCAGGCCGGGCTGCTCCAAAACGCAAGCATTGGCTTGGTTTAAGGTTTAGGGTTTAGGGTTTAAGGTTTAGGGTTTAGTTGCCAAAGCCATGGAAGAGCGCGGACGGCATCCATGGCTGACTCGAGTCTGCTTGCTGCAAGCCGTGTGAAGCTGGACTTCTTCCACAGCGACTTTCTCAGATCTGCGCATCTATGCCATCTATGCATGCACAAGATGCCGCTCACGCCAGCGAGTTGCCTCAGACGCAGCGGACTCGAAGTCTTTGCGAAATCCTGCTCAAGACATGAAGCACACGGATTTTCCACCGCATCGCTGCGAACCCTAAGCCCTACACCCTACATACTAAACCCGAAACACCCTCAACCCTACGCCCTAAACCCTATATAAGCCCTCGGCCCTACACCTTGAGCCCTCAGCCCCAAACCCTAAGCCCGAAAGCCTAAGCCCCACACCCTATACCCTAAGCCCCACACCCTATACCCTAAGCCCCACACCCTAAACCCTGAGCCCCAAACCCTACAGCCCTCAGCCCCACACCCCTAAACCTAAGCTCCTAAACCCAACATCCGAAAACCTTAAGCCCGAAGCCACGAGCCTGATCCTGGAAGTTTCCAGGAATCCTTATAGGACTCTGATAAACCCTAAAATGTAAACCCTGAACCCTAAACCCCAAATCCTAAACCCAACGATACACCTCTATCCCTAAAGCCTAAACCCTAAAC